ACTTTCTACAAAAGCCGGAAGTAGAACAAGTCCCCGTGATCATCATCAGCTTTCACCCCAGCCCCACGTCTGAAGACACCTACGACTGGAGGCAGCAGAAGGGCTGAAGCTGGTCTTAGCGCCGCATTTACCTGACTGCGAGAAAAACTGTGAGCGCCGCCAGTTGTTGCGAACCCTAAGTGGAACTGCGGCCCCGTGGGGCGGCTCTGCAGGCAACAGCACCGGGACAAAACAAGAAACACAGTGCGGTCAAAGGCGATGACGGACCCTCAGACTCGAGCCGCCTCAGCCACGAGTGGGATTTTGACTACAATTGCTTTGGCCCATCGCAGATAGTTTACAACGGACCTGCAGATCACATGGACTGTCTGTATTTAAATGTTACTTTCATAACATGGCACCTAATCTTACATGAGGGCTCTAGCTAATGCTAGTCAAGGGCAGCCACTCCTTCAAGTCTTTGTATGGTGCTCACGTTCATTCCTATCACAGACACACATTTTAAAGGATTCTATGATCCTTTCAGTGCTGTATGTGCTGTGAACACTAGAGAGCAGCCAAGTGTTTCAGCATCTCTCAGAAAATAGGAGAGAGATCTGCAATCTGTTACTTGATGTGTGGATTGATTCATACTTAACGTAAAATTATATTGTTCTGAAAAGCCTGTTTGGAAAGCACCTCTCCACTTAAAACAGGTGAGATTTCTATTCCTTTTCAGATAATCCTGTTTTCCACAGTGGATCACCTTCAGTAGTTTCAATCCTGAAAACACTAGGATAATCAGTATATTACCTATACACAACTAACAGCCCAGTAAGTTCTTAGGTGGAAGAAAACTTCAGATTATTTTTCTCTCTGTCTTTCATGATATCTGCATTTATGCATCCCTAAAAGCAATTAAAAAAAATCAAACTACTAAACAATCTCAAGCAAAACTTTGTCAAAAAGGTGCAAGAACTCGTGATGTGCACAGGTCAAACTGAGGGATGTGGCCAGATATGTGTATTGTTCATCTATGAAAAGGAGGTCCACATGAGCAGCTGAGTGCAGAATTTATCTCCAGAAGTTTTTACTGTAAGATAAAACCAATTGCTAAGCCATTTTCATCCATGAGCAGCAATACTAATAAAATATAATACTCACTGACATAATAACAGTCTTCATTGCTAGGCCAGGTAAGTGCAAGATAGGGCTCTCCCTGTCCCTCTGCCTTGTGTCACAATTCTGCTGTTGCGTTTAAGGAGAACAGCCAGAAGAGTAATTTGCATCGCAGAAGCCACACTACCAGTATCAGTCAGATGCAACTAGAAAATAACCATTTTAGCTCCAAACCCCTCCAGGTCATTGATTAGGCACTTCTCCCTGAACACCACACAGACACATCCAACTACTGTCCAGCTGAGTTCTCCAAATGCTGTTCGCTCACCTTGTAGACCAGAATTCTGCAGAGAAACTTGGCTGGTCTTGGGTAGTTTCATTAAAAAGGGCAATACTACACTCCCCTCCTGTTCCAGGGCTTTTGGTTTCATCACCTGTTCAGACATTCGGGAGCAGAAAACAGCATTCAAAAATCAGCAGGGTCAATCAAAGGTTAACTTAGACCCCTTTCTACTTATTTTCTGAATCAGCATTATCAAAGATGAAGCCTATATCTCCAGAACTGCAACATGGAGTTGCAGTACTTTAGTCCCACAAATAACCAGTAGATGTTTGTTGTTGATATTCAGTCTGCCCTGCACAGGAAAGCCAATCCTAACCCAGGGCCAACATCTAATTTACCTGACAGAGCAGTGTGGTCATGGCCATTTGCTACCTCTGCCACCACCTGCACTTGTTCAGCACTTCAAGAGTACTAAGAGGGTAAGCTCCACAGCCTACACCTTCTGGATACTCTGCCTCCCAACATGCAGTGAGACTGGGGTTTGCAGGTTAAGTTCTTATTGCTGCTGCAGCCAGTTTACAGGTTCAAACACTACAAGCAGACACTGGGGAGTTCTTTTGGAGGGGGAACTCTCTGATGACCACAGGATTTGTCACAGAAACCACCCTTCACTGTAATTCTCTAGAAGACTGGAAGAAACTCCTAATGTGACATCATATAGAGAAAAATACCAATTTGCACAAGAAACATTTTCTTGTGAGATCTTTCTTCCTTTTTGTCTTGCTTTCCATTCCCCCTGTTTCTTGCCTGTCCATACCTCTGGTGTAGTAGGGAACTCTGCTTCCTTCTGCTGCTCCATTTCAGGTTTCTTCACATCCTTCTCATTTGAAGCAGCTTCCTCTGAAGGGACAGGACTGGGAAGAAATTCTAATCTCTTCACAACAGGGCTGGCACAAGCTGCAGTTGACTTGAATTGCTTTTGATCTGAACCTAATTCACACATACAAGAAATAATGTTGCAAGCTTATGATTCTTTTTTTTTTTTTCCAAACAAAATGTAGACCTATTTCTTGCAATCCGATTTCTTACTGGATATACTGTGAGCCCATAAAGTGATGTTTTTAAAAAAATAATCTTATTTCTTCAATATAGGCAAAATTAATCTCTCAGAGAAGACAAGGCTTTAAGGGTGAAGTTCACCTGACAAAATGTAGATGCTTACACTTGACCTGGGCACCATGGGGTACCCTTCATGGTCAACAAAGACAGAAAGTCAATTCTTGGGGAAGAGCGACCCAAACTATTTCAGACTATTTCTTTTTGGCTGAGACGACATGTAACCTACAACATGCCTACTGAAGTACAGACCTCTCTACTGAAGTTGTGTGACGAATCCTATCCTAAGATGCTACCCAGACAAGGAGCTAACCACAATTAACGTAGTCTCACTGGAGGATATTCCAGATCAGCTATTTCCACTAAACCATTTCAGTCAAGCATCAGACAGCAAAGAAATTGTGCTAACAGGAAGCCTTGGACTGGACTAACCTGGTTAGCATTCAGCTCTTAAAAAAAACCCAAACAGTTTATGCTGGTTTACAGAAGGAACCAGAAGCACACAGGCCTACAGCTGAGGACTGTGACAGCTAAAACTATTGTCAGTTGGTGCCACCACGGGGAAGCAGGGCAGTCTTCTGCATCCCAAGCAGCCCACAAGCATCCTGACATCTAACCTCCTAAAACAGAACCTCAGCTTCAGATCCTGTCCCCTCTCCAACCATGGCAGCAGTGGCAGCTTCTGAAGGTATCTCTTTGATAGGCTAGAAGAGTGAGCTAAGAAAAACATTCACCCAAGGCTCCACTAAGAACCTGCACATGAGCAGGAGCAAGAGCTGCTCCTGCTGCCAGGCAGATGCACACCACATTGGAACAGCTCCTACACCAGTAGTGGCACAGAGGTCGCAGCATGGAAGCATCTGGCTTGTACTGAACAGCAGAGGAGGTTGTTTATTCTACAAGAAGGTCACACAGTTTGGGCCACATTTGTCCCTCCAAAGCAGACATAATGAAAACCCATGTTCCTTTCCCATTTCAATTTTTACAATGCTATCTTAGTTTCCTTTGCCAGCCAATATTAAACTTTGCTACCCATACTTAATGTATGCTTATGGATATGCTTCTAATCTTGGGGCAACAGTACCCCATTGAGGGCAAAACTCAATTCTTTAAGTCACATTTATCCTCAACAAATGAGTGAATTATGCTTATATACCAATTACAGCCAGAGACCTCATTTAAATAGCTACTTCAAATAGTACTTTTTACTTACCCATACCAAGCTGAACTTTGATAGAACCATTTTAAAAAATGAAAAACAAAAAAAAGACCATGAACTTAGTATGATAGCAGGCAGTAGATAAAATGGTAAAACAAAGGTAATGTTTTAGAAACACCCTTTTGAGGAAAATAGCTTCAAATTTTACCAGCAAATTCCCTTCCTCAGATTAGGAAACGTAAGCATTAAGGATTTAAAGCAGAAAATCAGGACTGTGCACAATACTATTTAAAGCCCCTACAAGGACTGAAGTGCCCCTTCTTATTCTCCTTCCCCATTTCTTCATGTTTTTTGAGAAAAAAAAGTGTTAAACAGAAGCTATTACTGACTGATAGTTTCTGTCTTGATTGCTTTCTGGTTACAGCATGCTTTGGCACCAGCTTTTCACGCATATAAATGGCAAAGCAGACAACTTGCATCCCAAGCAATGTGCAGTCAGGTGTGTCATTTAAATCACAGAATCACAGACAAGCCCAGGTTGGAAGGGACCTTGAAAGAGTATATGGTCCCACCTTTCAAGGGAAAGGGACCCTGGATGAGATTGTCTAGCACCCTGTTCAGCTGCATCTTGAAAACCTCCAGCCATGGGAACTCTACGACGTCTCTGGGGAGGTTGTTGCAGTGAACAATTATTCTTACTTTAAAAAATTTATTTCTTGAGATTTCTGACATTTTCTGCATTTTCTAATAAAACCTCTTGGTGCCACTGCAGATGCACTTACTGGACTCCTGCTGCAGGGTGGGCCTAAACCCCTGCCCCACTGGTGGGCAAGGGCAGGGGTGAGGGCAGCAGCAAAAACCCACCTGGGGATGGGCACGCCAGACTCATAGGTCCTGCACTTCCAGGGCTGGCCTCAACCTGCTTGCTGGTGGCTGTATCTGCTTCCACTGGGCAGGCCTGGAAAGAATAACATAGTAGAAACACAGTAAGTAGAGTGGAAATAAGAGTATGTGTTAACTCCTCATGGCAGTACTTGCTGCTTCTCTGTAATGTGTTTGAACCAGACTAGTTTAACGCTCAGCAGGGAGCTGGGGAGTATGTTTCGGAGCAGTATGTGCCACTTGAGTGTTGAATCACTGGGCTTTAATCTCCTTTTCAGACTATTCATCAGCAACTATCATGCAGTTGGTTTGGAATAGCTCCTACAAGCTTTTAAAATTGTAGGATATCTTGGATTGTGTTAGCTTGAGATAAGCATACATTTCACCCACAGTTTCCTCTTCCAAATAACACAAAAATGTATGCATTAGTGAACACATAGCACATACAGGGTTTCAAAAGTGGCAAATTAAATACTTCCTTTATTTCATGGTTGTCTAAACAATCTCTTATCTGAAGGAAAAGCCAGAGCCAGTATTAAAGGTAATGAAATACTTGAAACACTATTAAGAGAGGACTGAAAAAATATGGTGAGAGCATATTGAGCCAGTAATCTAAATCCCTTTGAAAAGCCAGCTTCCTGACCCTGGACAAGGCTGTTGCAGAGCTGAAACCACACTGTCAAAACACGCGTAGCACTTCAGCTGATCTGTTTAGCAGCTTCCACCATGCATCCGCTTTCCCAGCAGGCAAATCAAGAAAAATCTGCAGCAAACCAATCAGCCACTGCACAGTGCTTCTATCTAATGCATGAAAAATCTAGAAAATGGCACATTCAACAGTGGAAAATAAAAAAAGACTACTTTTGGAAATAAACATATGTCAGAAGTAGTCTATTGTAGACTCACTTTCCTGTCCTACTCCCACCCCTTCATCTCATTAAGAGTTGCAAGGGGGGAAACCTGATGAAATTTCCTCTTTTCTGGGGGCAGGATTCAGACATCCACCTTCTGCATGGATCCTGTTTCCCATCCCTGCAGATCTTCAGGAGCCTACAGCCCCTCATCCATCCGTGACCCGTGAAGAGCAGACCTGGGCTCTCCCAGCTCAGTCATCAGGGATGCCTGCTGGCAGTGCCAATAGGATGCCAATGCCTGTGGACACACTTTGGCTCCAGAGACCTTTGCTGTTGGCAGTGCTAAGGAATCCCCACTTCTCCTCTCTGGAGGGAGGCATGCTCCGGAGAAGGGCAGGGAATGTGTGTGGGAAGATGACCTGCAAGGAAATGGTGAGGACCAGTGTGGGGCTGTGGCCAGGGGCAGTGACCCAGGCAAGCCCCGTGGGCAGTGAGCAGTGCTGGGAACAACAGAAGGAGCCCCGGGCTGCCAAGGGCTGTGCCGCCAGCTCACAGCAGGACAGGCACCAGACCAGAGCCATGAGCCTCTAGAAGTGGCAGCACGTTTCTCACAGTGCCCGCTGGGGCTGGCTGCCTGCTGTCCTCCCCACTGCCGGGCACTTTCCACTGCACCCCAGGTGAGGCATGGGGACACACAGAACCACAGAATCATTCAGGAAGGAAAAGACCCTTATGATCACAGAGTCCAACCATTAACCTAACACTGCCAAGTCCACCACTAAACCATGTCCCTAAGCACCACATCTACACGTCTTTTAAATACCGCCAGGGATGGTGACTCAACCACTTCCCTGGGCAGCCTGTTCCAATGCTTGACAACCCTTTCAGTGAAGAAAATTTTCCTAATATCCAGTCTACCCACTGGTGCAACCTGAGGCCATTTCCTCTCATCCTATCACTTGCTACCTGGGAGAAGAGACGGACACCCAGCTCACCACAATCTCCTTTCAGGTAGTTGTAGAGAGCAATAAGGTCCCCCCTCAGCCTCCTTTTCTTCAGCCTAAACAACCCCAATTCCCTCAGACATTCCTCATAAGACTTGCGCTCTGGACTCTTCACCAGCTTCGTTGCCTTTCTTTGGACACATCCCCCTCTTGCCTAAAAGCAGTTCTCAAACAGGACAAGGCAGAGGGTGAAATACACACTCCAAACAGGCTGCATGGAAAGTTTGAGGATCTCCCTTCCACCATGTCCACCTGTGAGCGTGTCTACACCAAGAAAAAACAAGGCACAGAGCTCCCTCTCCATGTGTCACATGGTCCAAGGAGGGATGGTCACTGCAGATGAGGCCCAGGATGGAAAACAGGCCCCAGAAAAATGCTCCAAAGACTGCGAGTCCTGTGCCCCAGAGATTTTCCCCTCACCATGCTGTTGCTCTTTTCTCCCATATAACCCGCCTCTCCCTTCCCCAGTGCACCCTGATGCCAGCCTGTGTTTCAGTGAGAGCTTTCTCAGGGAAAGCCCCAGCAGAAGAACACTGCAACTAAAGACAACGTCTCCTTCAGCTTCAGTTCTCGCTGCTGACATGACAGCAGCCAGGTGAGAAGCTACTGGAAACCCTTCCCAACCTTGCTCAATGCAGAAATAAGTCTTTCTTTTCTCCATGAGGACAGCCAGGCAGCATAACAGGCTGCCCAGACAGGTTGTGCCATCTCTGTCCTCAGAGGTTTTCAAGACTTGAGTGATCAAGCCCTTAGCAACTTGGTCTGATCTCATGCCTGATCCTGCTTTGAGCAGAAGACTCAGTTAGAAACCTACAACCTGAATTATTCTGTCATTCTACAACCTACAAACCTCCGTTAAACCTAAACAAATGGCTATTACCCAGACCTCAGGGTTTGCCCTAAACAAGGTAGATTTTAACTGGAAAAGCAAGAGGCACCTCCCTGACAACTCTATTCACTGCTCCAGAGCATAAGCCCTTCCAAAGAAACTGCTGCAAGTTTCAATTATTAATATTATTATTATTTTTGGTAAAGCAATGGAACTCACCCTCCACTCTCAAAAAGCAACTGCCCAAACTGAAAAAAAAAAATTTTTAAAAAAAATTCAGCTTCAATTTTAACCTCAGAGACTTTAAAGCTATAAACAATGATAAACTGGGGCCAATAAAAAAAAAAAAAAAAAGTTTAACAGCTCTACATACACCCAGGGAAGTCAAGTGCCAATGGTATCTGGAGCTAGGGAAGGAGCACAGCCACACTGGCCTCTCAGAATGTTTAAAAAGCTCAGCAAATGCACAGACATGGTGCTGTGTCACATAGCCATCCTGCACAAGTGCAATAATACCCATAACCTATATCCAGGAGATTGAACCAGGTAAAGACATAGATGTTATTTATAGAAATTATTTCAAAGAGGAGCAAAAAAATCAAGGAGTTACTAATTGCTGCGGGACAACTGAATTTTGCAATGGCACGCTGCAGAAGCTCTGTTCCTGCTCACGAGACTTGACTCTTCCTCCTCCCTCTGCTGAGCAATTAAATGTTAATGACATACAGCTAAAAATACAGAACTGATTAGTAAGTAATTTATAAAAAAATTAAGTCAGCTTCACTGGAGAACTCTCTCATTCCCAGTAAATCTAACTCTATTTATAACACCAATATCCACACCTATATGATACATTTAAGAAAATTCTTTTACATATACAGCCGATAAAATGTCTTCTCCACCACAGACGATCATAATTCACATTTTGTAAACATTTTGTAATCAAATAATGATGCTATTACTGAACATGAAAAAGGCACACAAGCATTTCACTGTACCTAAGAGGATCGTATATTGACACAGACACTGCAAAACCGAACAACTTGCCAAGTGATGTTTCTGAGGTGTTTCAGAGGAGCTCTCATGCTTTGGGATGAGGGACCTGACCCAAGCAGTCTCTCAGCACCTCCCTGCTGCAGCCACAGTGTTTGTGTGGGCAGAGGCATCACTCTGCAGGACCAGAGAGTGACTCCGTACGTTTGTTCTGCAGCAGGTGCCTACAAGGGAAGGTCACACAACATCTTCTGGTCCACTGCTACAGGCAAAGAAGGCTTCAAGGCAAGTAGGAAAAACCTTGCTGTGTAGGGGCTGTGCTTATCTCTGCCCCCAGATCCAGGCTGGCGTGAAGACTTTGTCTCGTTAACTCCTGAAAACTGAAGAATGCTGTCTACTTGGATTGGTGTTTTATTACCCTGTGCATCTACCTACCCAGGAGTTGAAGTGAACTTCCCCATTTAGGATTTAGAAGCCTTAGTCCATGATAGAAACTTAAATATTGTGATTGCATTTGCAGTTATGAGCACAACAGTAATAGAAGACAAAGCAACACCTCAGTTCTGCTAACCAAGGTATCCATTTAACAAAGACACAAGTGCAGCTGACTATACAGTGTTATCAAACACCGATTAGGCATGAAAATAAATTAGTTCAGTTTGTGGCAGGTAGGATTTTTATCCCATAAACTAGGATATCAGTCCAAGTATTTCTTTAATTAAGACTGTACAAGCCAGAAATAGGCATATTGCCTGTTACTGTCGCAGAACCTGACATCCTTATAAAACCCTAAAAATACAGTAACTGGGAGCTCCTAAAACACTGAACATCACAACTACTGCAAGAATTAAAACTCCAAAGGAAGTTACAGTAGAACTTTATTAACTCTTATTGTAAATTAAACCAAAACATAGGTCAGTTAACACTACTTGTACACAAAATCACGTGAAATATCGTTACTGTATTTTCTATGAAAACATGACAAAACAAGCTGTCTGGAACCAGAGAGAATGCAGAGCTGTTGGGAAGAATCAGGTTAGAACTACAGTTTAAATTCTGTAAAATCACTTAGGAATGAAACTGGTTGTGGTATCATTAGCCACATGTAGAAATTGCCTGACAATTCAAACTTCTGTGATCAGAGGTGTACCCGCATCACTGACTTCAAAATTTGCATATGATTATTTCCTCATCAAAGGCAGCATTTTCTGTTGTTGAGTGGTAACGGTGGCATGACTTTGGCCTGCCATAGCTAAGTGCCTTGCATGCTATGCCAGCATAGTAAGACAGCCAAAACACTGCTCTGACACGTTAAGTCATCTGCCTCATCTGGCAGCTCTATAATGCTATACTCAGGCCAGCTATTGCAACCAAAGATCAGGGTGGATCAGTAATAAACAGAGAAGCCTTGAAAATGTTGCAAGAAATAGTGTTAAGTATTCCTGCTAGTCATTTTTCTAGAGTTATTCCTGCTCAATCGGGATGTAAAATAAGCTCATGTCACTCATAGACATTTAAAAGTGCATGGGTGTCTGGAGGATGGGAGACACGGATGCCAGATTTGTGTCCAAATCCTGAGCAGAGTTCCCTTCTAGCTGCTTTGAAGGTTTGCTGCTCTCACTTCTCATCCTAAACCTTTTTCCCTTCAGGTAGTCCAGCCCTCTGTGCATCTTCCCATGTGTGGTTCAAGACAAAACTGTCAATCTGGAACAGACGTACTTACTCTACAAGTGTTTCTTGTAATGAATCAAAGAACAGAGACTTGTCCTACCAGATATGTAAAGATCAGGATTTCAACCCTGTTCTCCTGTAGCTTGGCCAACAATTCTCAACCACAAGAAAGCTTATACTTTAATCTCAGTTCAATCAGTGGATTTTTGAAGATGAAGGAGCGTGTTACTTGGATATAGAAAAAAAGTTTATTTTGTGCCAAACATGCAGTGAGTAGAAACGGACAAGTTTAAGCTAGCTAGTGAAAAATTAAAAGAAAGCCAAAATCTCCCTACCATCACCACCTTGCTCTGATCTTTTTAAAGTTGCTGTCTATATTTACTCTTTTTTAGTTGATCAGAGCAAAGCTGTAATTAGAGCTACAACAAGCCAGTAATTTCTAAAAACTCATACAAAGACTGATTAAAATAAAGCAGTGTTACTCACTGACAAATTAATTCCCCTATACTAAATCTGCACAAATATTATTTTAAAACAAAACATTTACTTTGTTAACTTCTGATTCAAAGATCTAGCTAGAGGATACAACTCCTCAGCATTTGTAATGTGCATCGCTATTCTGTATAATGGAAAGAAAACACAACCTAATGGCTGACAGGTAGGACCAGAGTGAGGAGATGATTCTCATGTTATTGCTGGCATTGCCACTGACTCATCAGTCAGTCTTTGGGCTTTTGCCCCAGTTTTTCCACCTGCAGTAAGAGAGATGTGCTTTACTGACCACCCCTCTTAGCAGCATATTGCTCCACAAACATCAGTGGGATATTTTCATCCTGCTTAGAGGCCAAATTTATCCTTCCTAGCCTTAAATCACAGTCAAAATTACTCTCGAGTAAAGGTCTCTTGTAATATCTGCCCCCCAAAATCTAAGTACTCTAGCTATAAGCTACAGACACAAGTATAGTTTCTTGATAATATTTTTCTTCCCATCTGCTGCAGCTTTTTTTGCACCTCACTTCATACTCAAATTAGGCAGGAGTTACGTATGTTTCCCAACCAGTCTGATTGCCAATCATTATTTGATTCACATATAGATGGGGTTCTTTGTCAAAAATACAACTGACACTGAGGTCTCACCCATACAAAATGACCCCTGCACTTCTCTAGCTCCCCAAAATCCTAAATCATATTAGCGTTTTAAGTGGTGCAACTTGATTAAAGTGTTTTCCAAACTTCAGGCCAAAAGAGCTGTTGAAGTACAGCTGCACAGCATCTTCCTCTATTGCAGACAACGCCTGAGGCCAGCCGGACAGATTTAGAGCAGGGCTACAGAGCTTCAAAGGGAAGCCTGCCAGGCAGAGAGAAGACAGGACTAGTCCATTTGACAACTGAACTGAAACAGCAGAGAAGCAGTTCTAAGAGGGATGGACGGAGGAGGAGGAAAGGGACACAAAGAACAGGAAAAGAATCAGAAGGGGAGGACAGGAGGGCCAAAGGTAACATATATATGAAAAGAAATACATACTTCACAAAAGACACTCAGGGTGGAAAATGAATGAATAAAATAGAAAACCAAAACAAATCTCAGAGCAACTAAAGGGAAAAAAAACCCCATAGAAACAACATCTCTTAACAGGCAGAGGAACTAGTGCCTGTGAATCTTATTTAAAGCCTGGGAGGGACATAGCTAACAAGAACTATACCAATAAAGGAAAGTACACAAATAAAGGCAGTGAAAGCAAGTTTAGAAAAGGCTTTGAAAACATGCTCAATTTGCAAAAGTTTTCTCAAGGCAAAAGAAATGTAGTCATTTCTTCCACTCCAGACAGCTCTGCTTCTTCACCTCAGCTGCTTTTCTATCCCTGTTTCTGTCATCTTCTCCTTCTCTCCTAAAAATTCAGCAGGGTTAGGCATCAGACAAAAACTATAGCCCTGGTTTCTCCTTGTTGGAGGTGATATAGCAGCAGATTCAGAAGGCTTTCTTACTTCCAATAATGTGTAGCTTGGAAGCCCTATCCTGCTGGGGCAAAAAGTAAACCCCTTCTTCCCCTCTGGAGGGACCATGGTGACAGCTAAAGAGTTATTCAGCATCCTGCCCACCAACAGACCCTATTTTATGAGTGGGACAAGCCCAGGAGGCTCTTTTCTTTCCTCATTTGGATTCCCAACCTTCCTAGGAGTTTAGCACTTCAGACTCTGCAGATGCAGGCTGACATTGTTGTGTCAGCTGTACAGAAACCAAAGTAAAAGAGGTACAGGGAGAAGGCTGAATGAAGTGAGTTCAGCGTAGCTGCCCAATTCTTGCAGGTAAAAGCCCCAGACTGATTGCACCCAGATGGAGCTGCCTATAGCAGTGCTAGCCTGCACCCCAACACACACAGTGAAGAACCCAAGCGTCAGTACCATGCCCTGCCTCTAACCTGGCATCTAAGCCTTTCCCACATCCATGAACCAGGGCACTCCTGTATGCTCAATTACTGCCTATACTTTAAGGCATGGGGGCCTGGAAAACTAAAGCAAAGCAGCTGGGTAAAGAGAAGCAAATCTCTAGAAGGAACAGAGCCTGTAAATCTTAGGCTAGAAAATTCCCTTCCAGCCACAGGCAGGTCTCCTCTTCCCCCCATCACATTCAGTGCATTCAACTTGTTTCCCCATGTAAGTTTCCCCTCAAGCAGTCTCCTCTCCCTCCTCTGTCCTTGATGTGGTTGAAACACATGCCTTTGCTTGAAGCTGAAGTGCCAGGAGCATTAATAATGGTTTGCACTAGCTAGTCACATTATTGATGAAATTGTGAAGCTAGCGATATAAAATTCTTAGTTAGAACAGAGAAACTATCAATAACACCTTTTGGGTGCACTCTCACTCTCTTGAGAAGGCTTCATCATTAAGTGCACTCAAGCTCACAAACCAAGACGTTATTCCACAAACAGAGTCACAAGGAATCTGAGAAGTCAAACTCTTCTGCCTCCTTTGCAAATATCACCACAAGGGCTAAGAAAATGGAAGCAGAATCTGGTCACATAAAAATCAGTGGTCAGCCAGCCACATCATCCTCAAAGCTGTAGAAAGGGAAGGATAAGAGGGCATCAAACAGGTGCAAGTACACCCAAGCCCTAGCAGTGGTTTCTGCTGCTGAAGTTCCTCTCAACTCTTCCACAGCTATACTCATCTGGAAATCCTAAAAAAGGAGGCAGTAGCACTTTCATTTGTCTACTTTTCCAATTTCCATTGTGCTTCTAATCTACAGCAAGCTGAGGTCCCTCTCTATGCTCCAATATGCTCTCCCGTATCAGACTCAACGCTTACCTGGCTTTTCCCTTACAGCCAATTAATTCTGACAAGAGCAGCCTCTGCTCTGCCATCCCTGCTTGCTTTCCTGCAAATCATTCACTGTCGACTCTACACCAGTTCCCTCTGACAGGATCAAATCCATGCTCACAACACATCCCAGCTCTCACGCTTGCTGCAGGCTCCATGGCTTGGTTGTCCGTGGCCAGAGACTGGCATGAAGCAGGGGAGTAAGATAAGACACAAACCCTTCAGCAGAAATGAATCACTAGCCCCTGGGACAGATCCCTGCCCACTCCCTGTTATCCATCTGGACAATGCTTGGATGAAATAAAAGATGAAAGCAAAACATTATCATACTCAACTCTCATCACATCTCCAGTTCTGTTTGTTGCTACACAGTAAAGAACGGTGAGAATTCCCTCTCCTGACACTTGTTTGCAACCCTTTTACAGGCTTTATTTGTAAACTGGATGTTACTTCTTGTTTTGTTTTTACTATCTACTTTTATTACAGTTTTGTAGCATCTAGATTCCTGC